AGATAGATAGATAGATAGATAGATAGATAGATAGATAGATAGATAGATAGATAGATAGATAGATAAAACACTAAAATAACTCTTTAAGAGCAGATGACATATTCGCACATCAGACAGTTTTATTGTATTTATATTGTGTAATATCTAGGAAACCTTTGTTGAAATCAATCAAATCTAAAATCATTTCATTTTGGTTGTACATGACAAGAAACTATTTAAACTTAAAATTCAACGTGTAATAAATTTGTCAAAGGTTGACTTATGTATTCATCAACGTATAAACTGTTTTAGGGATTACTTTGCAATGGTAAAAAAAAGTCATGACTTTTGAACACAATCATACACTGGATGTCACAAAATTGCAGGGAATTCTGATCCCTGTCATCAAAATGTATTCCAGCAGGTGTCACCCTTTCATATGAGGCTCTCTCTTTGTTTACATGTCTGACTTAACTGAGAATATATATTTTATTGATGTCCAACTAAGGATTTTATGCACATAATATGAAGAAGACCGGGTGTCAAACCCAGTTCCAGTTACACTTGGGCAGGACAGTGTTTTACAATATATTGATAAATTTTCAAAAGTGTAAGGGGCTATGTGTAAATTACATATTTGTTTGTCCAGCTCAGAAAAGTATTGCCTATTAACAGAATGTCACAGGTGGAGAATATAAGGGGAGAACACATGTAATTTTAACCAGGTTTGAAATAAATTAGATAACTCAGTGACTGGATTTTCTTCTTGTGCTGTTTGATGTTTTATTTTGTTTTAGATGAATTGATTGCTCTGTCTAAACTTAGCCTAAATTTTAAATTCCTCCTGAGGTCTTTCACAAACTGCACTCATTGTTCCCTTTTCTACCAGTTTGCAGTGGAGATGAGGTGATTGAACCTAAAGTGTTGCCTCACTAAACTTAACTCTGTATTTTCTCGGTTAATAAATTAGTAAGTCAACTCTGCTCCACAGTAAAGTCTTGTCAGAATTTGGCGTATTGATTTGGACTAGGTTGATCTGATTAATGACACTTAAGGCTGCATTACTTTAACAGTGTTTTTTTTTTTTTTACTGAATACTAGTGCGTATAATTAACTTTGTTGTGTTTTTTCTTTTAAAACGTAAGCATTTAATAAAAAATAAATAATAGTTCATGAATCTAATGTTTATCAGGTTAATATGAATATTTTAGTTTTTGTAATACAATCAAAAAGAAACCCTTTAAAAAGGTGTGTCATTTCTTTGTGTACGGTTGCTCTGTTGAAGGTGTCAAACTAAATCCACGTGCACGTCTTTGTTTACACTATTACGTAATTACGTCACTGGACGCACCCCGCCCTTTACGTGAGCTGCCAGGCAACTAGAACAGGAAGTCGCGGCGCGGACAAGTGAACAACCTGCTCAGTTCTGGGACTTCAAAAACAACCAGAAGCAAACTCACAGCTAAACTATGGAGGACGCAGAAAAAGGTGAAGACTTTACACAGTTTTAGTAACTCGCCATTGTTCATACTATCTTTGTTTTATACAAAAGTTAACAAATTAGCAAAACTTAAGTACTGCGACAGACATTAGTTTTGCCATATGCTACCTTTCTATTCTAATTGGTGTGTGACAATATTTAAAGATACAAACTACACCGCTACCTTTTTAATTAGATCAATCTTTATTACCGTACTTATTTAATGTATTAATTGTAACTTTATAATTTATTTTATTTATTTATAACTTTAACGCTGAGTGTCCCACGGAAGTTATCAATTAGCTTAGCTAGCGCGTGACGTTTTTAAGTTTTAAAAACAAGAAACAAGCTAGCCTAACAGAGAGCAAAAAGGACGAAAACTGGTCTTTTAAGGGCCGAAATGATGACTTGCGCGAAGTAGTCACACCCGTTTGACTGCTACGTGCGTCTGATGTCTGATTTAGTCACGAACTGTGGAAAAACACGAGTGTACACGTTTGTTTTTGCACACCTGTTGCTTATCAGAGGGTTTTGTGGGGTTGAAACTGTGAATAATTGTCTGTCTGTCTTTCCTCTCATTTATCCACTTGAATTGTTTTTATTACTGCTGCTTTTATGCCTCTTATATTAACTAGTTTCTCCAGTTCAAAATCTCCCTTTAGTTTTAAAGGAAAGTAACTGTAAAGGTATCCGTTCTCACAATCACAAGACTTTTTGATTGAATCAAGTGACTCAGCTTATGTTTTCCTCAAATAGAGGATGTAATCCTGACCTGCTTTTATCCTAAAATAAAAAAAACAGTGTTTGCTGAAGTCTACAAGTTTTAATTTCTATTAAATATTGTACCTAAGGACCAGTAGATGTAAGCTGTTTGATTTGTCCTTGGCAGACTAAAAGGATACATTTCAACTATATATTTTTAAAGCTGCTTATCTTTAATTACAGTTATTTTATGTATTGTTATAATTACTATTCTACCTATTTTCTACCGTGCATGCACATGAAACGTCAACAATCCAGGCAGTAAATCTCACACATTTTTCTAGTTTTGAATTTCTGTGCTTCAACAAACCTGGTTGGAACAAATGGCTGATTAACAGGCTTCTGCTGAACTTAAAAGGTGAAGGGGTAGTCAACCACTGAATCAGACGTGTTGGAGCAGGGAAACGACAAAAACATGTAGGGTAGTTGCCCTCGAGGGCTAGGTTTGACACCACTGTATTATGATTTAGAAAGCCAGTGTACACTAAAGACAGCCCTTTTTGCACAAGCTATTAAAACTATGAAGTTATGCAGTAATTGCTGTTCCCAAAACAAATAAATTCAGTATTGCATTTTTTTATCCTTCTACATTGTCATTGCATCATAATCAGAATTGGGTTTTCTGTCTATAGTCTGATTTTGCAACAACTGGAGTCACTCTTGCACTTGCAGATATTTAAGGTGTCTGTATGTTGTTGTATTCTGTACCCTCATTATTGCCACACAGTGTCAGGATTTTTTGCAGCCTGTCGCTGAAGGCAATGTTTTTTCAAGGTTAGTTTTTTTAGTCATTTAAATTTGTCTTTTCCCAGTATTCAAATAAAAATGCTTTTTTTATATAAAGACTAGATAGAGGCAAATTATCAGGTTTTAGCAGCTCAGTGCATATTGAGTAACTGGTCTTACTAAAGAATTTCCTTTCCTCTCATTGTGTGTGCGCATGTATGTGTGTAGATGACCTACCTGATAACCAACATTTCTTTCTTTGAGTGATAACTTCTCTGGCCTGATGTCCTAAAGATAGGGCTGCCACAAACGATTATTTTTATAATCGATTAATCACCGATTATTTTTTCGATTAGTCGACTAATCAGATCATACGTTAATTGAATATAAAACACAGAGCTTATCACATCAGAATGCAGCTGCTATTAAATAACCATGGTTAGATTTTAGCTATATGCTAACTAAAAATAATTGCTGTGGAAGGTAAGTTCTGCTCTGCAGATATTACACAGGTTTCTCTTTCATTTTCTTAAAATGATCCCACACTTTTGAGCTCCGTTGCTGGGTAGCCATGATACCAGAGCCTGTCTGTATAATGTCTTGTGACGTCCACGGCCTACCCCAGTTACCACTACTGTGCATGTGTGTCAAGGACAGAAAGGTACAGTAGATGTGGTAGTGGAAGGTGTCAAAGCAGTTTRRAGAGAAAAAAAAAGTAAAGAACAAAAAAGAAAACGATTAATCGATTATTAAATTAGTCATCAATTATTTTAATAATCGATTAGTTGTCGATTAATCGTTGCAGCCCTACCTAAAGCTATACCGGTAGACTTCAGGTCCTTGCACATAGTTTGGCCCAGTGATTTGTATGATTTCTAACTCAAGCGTACAGTTCCAGGCCAAATGTGGGTTTTATCTTAATGTTTAAATATTTAAAACCTTTATTTTTGACTTTGGGCGGGATGTTTCCTATTTATACAACTTGAGGTTTTGGGCTCAAACATGTTTATAATGACAGTCAGGCTTAGTTTTTCTTGTTTTTCCCACTCATTTGACTGATAATATTGATCATGAGGACCGAGCAACAATTTTGCCTTATTAGATTTCTTTGAAGCACAACTGGAGGCTTTCAGCTCACACAGACAGGATTCCTTCACAGTAAGCTGAACAAAATCATGTATCTGAGATGTTCACAGCATAACAAGAAGTTTGGGCCTAAACACAGCTGCTTTCTGTATCTGAATTTTGTACAGTAAAACCACAAATTATATAGATGTATAGAATAAACCAGTGTTTGTAGGCTTTGTTACATAGTAGAAAACAAGCAGTTTAAGTTGAGCTTGATCTTTTTTCCTTTGACCTGTGAGATTTTTCTCACCTGTCTCAGTTTGTCCACATAACTGCAGAGACAATACTCAAGTTTCTCCCTTAAAAGAGGACAGCGTGAAAAATGACTGTTCCTGCATAACAAAAAAATTACAATGTAATCTAGTTTTGTTTTTAGATCTTTCTGTTTAAGCAACAGCTATAATATAGACCATTTCTGTAATTAAACCTAACTTCTAAATCTGTTTTCAGTTTCGCTACATAAGGAGTTTTTTTTGAGCGTGACAAAAAAAAAGAGTAGTTCAAACATCCTTTTTTAATTTATAATTATCATCCTGTAACTGCAAATCATATCTCGGAGCAGGACAGTATTCCAGTACAAAAACATATAAATTGAAAATGTTCATGCATGATTAACGATCGTCCCCATAGAAGCCAATTAGCACAGTGTTTGCCAATAAAAGCATCAATAATTTTATTTACTGCAAAATCTTATTTGACCATTTTCTTGATTTTTTTTTCTTTTCCTGTTGATTAAACCGTTCATTTTTGAGCTTTATTATTAAATAATGGTGGTTCTGGGTGGATTCTTGGATAAAGCAGAATCATTTTTTCCTGTTTCCTGTCTCTTTGCTAATAATCCACAAGCAGAAGCATAAATTGGATGTGCCTGTACAATATCTGCCTTTTTTATTGTTTTCCCATGATGCTTGTCTCCTGGGATCTTTGTGGGGCCCAGTTGTTGCCCTCATCCATGTCTCATGACTTGTTTTTGGCTAATCATGTGACACACCATGCCTTTAATAGTAAGGTAATAGACCTCATGCTGTGCTTAATTAGCCACTGAAAACGTCTGTTTGTGGTTGCAGTCTGTGTGGATGGATATGTTGGGTTTTTTTTTTGTTTGTTTATCTATTTTAGTTTGAGAATTCGCTGATATTGGAGACATCTGCTGATCTGTGATGTTCGTTTTATTTTTAACTCAAACTCCCCTAGTAGGGGTGTAAGAAAATATCGATACACTGAAATATCGTGATATTTTATTTCCCGATACTGTATCGGTATTCTAAAGCCCTATATCGATTTTTAATTAAGGTTTAAAATGTCAACCTTCTTGCCAACCGTTCATTTTTATGTTGTAGTTCAGCCTCTGACCACTAGTTGGCAGCAGTGAGCCA